GCTGTTACTGCACTGATATTGCTGCTAGTCTGCTGGAGTTAGGGGGGGAAACCAGAGAGAGAGCGCTGTAAAACGTTTTGATGTGAAAAATGGCCTTGGATGCACACAAAGTATACTTGTCTGGGAGAAAAATATCATTCCATTTGATCAGGTAAAAAAGTTCACCTTTTTCTAGATGAGAGAAAAAACCATGATCTCATGAAAGTTCTTCGGCTGAGTTAGTATTTCTGTGCTATTTTATGTCCTTGTAGCTTTGACTTAAAACTGCTAATATTAAACAATAGTTGAATAGGATCTCAGTCATGGTTAAAATGTACATCCACATTTCCTTCATTTGGGTGATCCAAAAAAATAATAATTATATTTCTTTCACAATTTTGCACACACAAATGTAAACATTCCCTGAGCTGCCTGTACACATGCACAGGAAGATAATGTGCATTCTCTCCAAAAATACAACTTGCAAACATGCAGGTTGCCGTTCCCAAATTTACAAGTGGATCACATAGACACACACATGGACACACACACTTCTCTGCTGGCAAGCTCGCACCCTCTCTGGGCAGATACCAGGCCTTTGATGGCCTGCTGGGCTCATCCAGGCTGCTTGGTTAAAAGTGTGTGTGTGCTTGTGGTTAAATCCACCTTGGCCACAGTTTGCCTCTCCATCTCCCCAGTGTGACAGCACTGAAAAGAGCTTCTGTTTCAGGGCCAGCCTCATCCCACATTAATCAACAACGCCGTGAGGGCGAGCAGGAGGGAATGGGAGGCATGGAAGGGTAGCAAGAGCGGAGGAGGATGGTAGTGGAGACATAAGGGGCAGAGAGGACACTGCTCCAAACTACCCGCTTCCCACATTATTTTCTACTCTAATTAATCTTCTCTCCGGTTATCTATTGATTATGTCCCTTGTGGATATCTTATTTTCTTTCATTTTACAAGCCAATCAAGTCTCTTTCATAACTTTATTCTCATCAATTACTGTTGTGCGGTTACGTCAGCAGTCTGAGCCACACAAATGCATATAGGAAAAAAAATGCTGACAGTAAGCATTTTCTAAGTGTGACACAGTCCTCTCGCCTCTTTGCACCGAACAACAACCAAATATATGAACCACAACAACTATTTTCATCTCTCCTATGTTTCTCATCATTGCCCTTCTTCCTCTGCCAGCCTTAATTCCTCTCCCCCTATTGCTCCCACACTCTGCCATGTTCCCCTCTGCTGCTTTCTCCCTCTGTCACTCTCTTGCTGTGTTGTAATAATAAACACCCCATCCAGCTGGGCTGATATATGAATGGAGTCAGTCTCATCGCCTGTTGCCCGGCGAAGCAGCAGGCATCAGTGGAGAGTCTTGAAGGCTCTGACTCCCAGGTGATGCATCCTGGCCTTAATGATGGTGGTCTTGGAAATCTTTACAGTCTACATCCTAAATTATTTGCGCACACAGAGGTATTTAATCACTGGGAATGGTGTAAAACTAATGAAAATAGATCCACACCTCCCCGTTTCTTCTCTAAGGCTTGTTTGAGAGCTACGTGATTGAGACTATTGCAATTACAAGTGCAATGTAGTGCAAAAGTTACGCAACAGATAATGGATAACATTTAATATATATCATGTCTATTGTTCAGAGAATGACAGAATGTTGGTCACCTGTTGGTCAACACAGCAGATTTCTGTGAAGAGCTGCAAGGACTCTGATTCTGTGTAAAAAGGTGGTCATGAAAAGCGTTCATCAGTCTTCAGACACAGGTTGCAGAGAAAATGGGCCATGACTATTAATCTCCCGGGGAGATGTGTCCCTTTTTTTGGATTTAGGGAGCCTGTGCTGGACCAGGTGTAAACTTGTGTACTTGACCTTTATGGATGGAGAGGATTGTTTCAGGTGAAAATATTTGCATAGAAACACGTGCTTGGACTGAAACTGGCTGCAAACAGTACCAAAACAAAATATCAGTTTATCAGTCGGCCTAGCCCAGTAATGTTTGTCTGGCCTTTTGGATGCTA